TCACGTGTTATTACTTTGTTTCTGCTTCCTTTACTCGTGGTCTTAAGTGCACACAGTGGCATGTTTTTAAATGTCGAGTGTTTACTTCTTCTGTGTATATAAATACTTTCTGGACTTTATTTTGTCTTAAGACAGAGTGTCCTTTTATCTCTGCCTGGCTTTCCTGTGCCATATAAGTGTGACCAAGGAGTTCTCCAGTCCTTGCTGTCGCAGACAACCTGCTGGGCGTGCAAAGTGGGGGACCTTCCTGCTGGCTGGTCCACAGGACGCCACCTTGGCCCTGAGGAGCCTGGGAAGCAGGCATTGGGCAGCTCATTATAGCTCCTTCCAGAGCTTGCTTGATGAAAAGGCAGCGGTGGGGGCTCGGGGCTGGACGGCTGTGAATTTTAGAATATCAGAGCTGAGAGAAGCCTTAAAAACATCTAGATAATACCTTATTTAATAGAACCTATGTATTTGTTTTAATTTCAAGACTACTGTTGCTGTTTGGAGGGATGTTCGTAACCTAGATCATTATCCCGGATTAGGAAGTAGGTTTTATCTGCACTGGAAAGAAAAGTTTGGGCTTTTAATATTGTGGTTTGGATCATCAGTATGATAAATTTTTAGTACTTTCATCATGTGTCTAATATTTGAGAGTTCTGGTGATTAGCAGAAAAAATTGAGCTCGTTTTACTTATCTCCAGTTCCTTTAAAAAAATTGTAATAAAACTTGGTGTTCTGTTCTTTTATGGGTGGGAGGCAAGGGGACAATTGATAGGAGTTTGTTAGCATTTTCATGCCAGAAATCTTGATCTAGAATGATTAAGAATAGTTGTCCGTAAGTGTAATGGGGACAAGGAAACAGTTTAGGGACCTACTACAGCCCCAGTTAATGTAGTGTGGTCTGTTTATCAGCCCAATCCCCACATCACCAGGGAGACTGATCACCTCGCCTGTTGCGGGTGAACAGAAAATCTCCAGTAGAGGAGAAAGCGCCAGCAGTTAAAACCAGCATACTTCCGTCTTTTTTTATTATTGACTCAAACATAAAAATAAACAAGCAGTCTCAGGACCTCTTCATCTGGAATGACCCATTTCACTCTAAATTCATTTGTGTTGCTCTGTCAATTTATGTTTCTAATTAGAACATACTTTCACGTTTACAGTTCCACATTGAAATGTCAGTCTTATAATTTTTAATGATGACAGAGAATTCCATCTGATTCATGTGTCAGAGTTTGATCATTTCCCCATTGTTGCATTTGGGAAGGTTACCAAGTTTTCACTGTTTTATAAATAGTGTTGCTATGAGTAGTCATTGTATAATTCTTGTCAGAGGGCAAGGCCTGCTTCTTGAAGCAAGTTCCTGAAAATGGAAATGTACCAGGTTACAAGTACATTGCTACGTCCTTACTCTGTTGACAAGGTTTTTTTGTTTTGTTTTGTTTTTTGGTAAATGTAACTTAGGGATTCATCTTTTGTGTTTGCTTTTGCTAGTGGTGACACATGTAAATAAATCTAAATTTTTTTTATTTGAAGTTTTTAAATTTCTGGTAAGGTGGTGTTTTGCCCCTAATTTATGGCCTAATCCGTGTGTATCAGTTTACCATTAAGAGTCTGGGTATTGATCATATATTCATGTGAATTCTTTATATATTGGGAATAGTAAGCTTTTATAAAATCTTATCACTATAATAATAGTGTCGAGAATGTACTAGATGCCAGACACCATGTTGAGATTTCCATATGTTGTTTAATTTATCTTCATGATATTCCAGCTATAGGACAGTTCTATATGGAGGGTAAGAGTGGGATCACATGGTCCTGGGTTCACGTTCGGGCACTGCCCCTTCCTCCTCGCGACTGTCCATTGATGAATCCCTAACTCCTTTGAACCTCACGTTTCTCTTGGGTATCATGAGGATGATAATTATACCTACTTCAAAGGGGTGTGATGAGGACTGAGATAATACACTTATAGTATAAACACAATAAATATTCAATAAATGTTAGCTGCTACCGCGACCATTTTTTCTTTCTTCTGAGGTTAATTTGTGTTTGTTTTTCAACTTGGTATATATGACATCATGGTGGCAGTGTCAAGCACACGTATTATCTTCCATTCGGATCATGAAAGTTACTGGGTCTTTTGAGTCCATACTCTCCACCCTTCCAGGTCTTCTCCAATCCTGCACGTTAGTATCAGCCTACCCTTCTTATTACCTCTCCAGCGTCTCATATAAGTTTCCGGGGTGGGGGGGCACCCATCATGCAGGTCTGGTGTTCCCTTTCTTTGCTCACTTGGCTCTCTAGGGGCTGAGACCCTCCGCATCCGAGACCTTGCCTCAGACTCCTGCATCCCGTGCACCTCCTGCGGCGCCTCGCACCCAGTAAGGGCTCCCTATTTAGATACTCAATGAGTGACTGTGCTGTAGTTTAAAATCAAATTTCTGTTAAAGAAATTTGAGACGATGAGCTTCTGTTTTATTTTACATGCTATGAAACACTCTTTGTATTCATGATAAGATAGGTCTTGTGTGGAGAGGAAAAAGCTGTTTCTGTTATTTTCTTAATTGAGCAGTTGGGGCACAGTTCTTAAATCCTAAAAATACTGCCACCATGCCGTAGTTTTTTGGAGTGCACTGTTGTACTGGAGATTGTGAACTCTTCTGCTTGTTGCTCAGTTTTCTATAGTACCAAGTGAATTTTTCGCATCCATGAAACTTCTTCGTGCCTTCTACTTTTGTGCCCTGTCTCAGTGGCTGGCAACGCTCCGGGGCACAGGACCTAGACAAAACCAGCTGCCTGGTCCTGCAAGATACTGGGGCTCTGGGGGGCGGAGGACAGGGATAGTAAAGCTGCTGCTTTCATAGAAATTAATAACCAGTGCTTAACAGTCTACTGTAAATTATTTTAAATTCTCTGGCAACCGGCCTGCTCACTGACACCTACAACATATCCAGCAAGGAAGCCTGCCGTGCCAGGCTGCTGCCAGGGAACGGTGCTTGGGGTCAGGGTTGACGTTTACATTTGTACCCTGGGCACTCAAGCAAAGCTGAAAGCCCAGGAGAAATCAGAGAGATCCATTGAGTCCATGTTCATACCCTGTGGGCACTCACTCTTGGGAGAGAAAGTATGAATTGAAAATATCAGGTGAGGCACTAAGCTAGGGCGGTCCAGGGCCAAGGGTGTTAACAGGTCTGGGGTGTTCAGAGCACCTTCCTGTTGCAGGTCTAGCTCTGTGGTTCGTGGTGGGTTGTTTGGTTTATGGAGCAAATCTGTTTAACAGGGAGAGCTTCTGACTTGTGAAGTGGTATTTGGACTGGATGACTTCCAGGGTTCAGTTTAGCTTGAACATGCTATTACTGTGACTTCTTTCTTTCACTTAGATAACACTTAGTGTTTACATTTTTAACTTGCATGTCTGCATTTGGGGATCTTAACTGGTGTTGGAGTATAGTTCTGATGTAGTTCAGATATCTATGATACAAGCTAGTCGTGGTAAGTTAAATTTTGCAGTAAATTTTGGTGTTGGCAGTAGTTTGGTTAAGGAACTCAAATTACCTTTGATTCCTCTTTTGCAAAACCATGTAAAAATGTTCAAACTGGGAAATAAATGTCTTCCATAGAAGACGTGTCAATGCTTAGTTCATTATTTAAAAATAGTGTCGTTAGATTGTTCTCCTAGGAAAGATGTGTTCTGATATAAAGAAGCAGTACCTACTTTGGGGGGGAATTAGAGGATGGTGGCGAAGGGTGAGTGCCCACAAGCTGGATCCCCAAGTTCACATACCAGGTCTAGCACTTGCGAGCCCTCGGCTTGGGGAACGCACCATCGCCTGCTGAGCCTTGGCTCCCTATCTGTAAAATGAGGATGAACCAACTAGGGACATAGTCACGATGAAAAGAGATGTACCTTTCAAGCTCTTGGTTCAGTGCTGGTGCAAGAGAATGTCAATCAATGTGAGCTCTGCTGAAGGTGAGGCGTTCAGAGGCGGGATTTTGAGGCAAAGGGTTTTTGTATCATCCCATGTTGACATGGGGTCTCTCGAATTTCAGATCAGTGATACAAGTGATGGCTGCCGTAGAGTTGACTTTGTAATTTCAGTAGCGCCTTTCTCCCATCGGCATGCATTTTCGGCCTTGGTTTGATTTGTTTACTTTCTGCACTTAAGAAGGTGAATTTAGGCCATAATGGGTACCGTCACCAGCCAGAAGCTTAGTGAACTCTATCAGAGCGAGAGCACCGTGCTGGCCGTGGTCTCAGAGGCAGGGCTGCTGGACAAGGGGGAGGAACGGAAGTCATCGCTGCTCTTAGCGAGTTAATGATCTAGCTGGAGGGAAATTCTATCCGGGCCATGCAGAGTACACAGATTTCCTTGGGGTATTGTGGTAATTATGTTAGTTACCTGTTTTTACTAGACCCCATGACGGTAAGACTGGACTGTGTTGGTCTTTTAAAATCCACACACAGACCTCCCCAGGAAATCCTCTGGCCAGAGTGAAGCGGGGTGTTTACCTTGATAACACCTTCCTGGCTGCATCTCCAGGTCATTCCTGCTGGGCTTGGTTGAAAGGCTGCCCCCTCCACCTGCATCCCTCCTGCCCTGTCCCCATCAGGGACACCTCCTTGGCAGCCCGTGCTCCTCTGGGCTCTGGGGACCCTGGCTCCATTTGCCCAACAGACAGATAAAGGTCTCTAGAGTCAGTCTGTGAAAAGCAAGGTGAGGAGAATATTGGCAGATGTTCTCCTTGCCCGGACCGGCGGCCTCCCTGCCACGACCCCCAGGATGTTCCCCATGGCGATGCCGATGAGAATTTTGGAGGGCGCTTGGGAGTTGAGCCAAGGTGGCTGTTCTGGCTGCACACTTGTTGTCAGGGGCCATTGTCTGTGGACCCTGCGCTTCCTCAGGACCTGCCCTGTCCGTGCTTCCTTCATCCCCAGCTCTGTGTTTCTGTCATCGGGTCCCATTTTGAAGACAAACCTCATTAACGCATTTTCCTCTCTCCTCTTGCAGGGGAGCTGCTGAGTCAGCCCAGACCGGAAGGAGTGGCAGAGATCATTTGCCCCAAGAACGGCAGCGAGCGAGTGAATGTTGCCTTGGTTTACCCACCTACACCAACTGTGATCAGCCCCTGTTCCAAGTGAGTCCCCACAGTGGCAGCCCCCATCCCCCACTCCTCATCCTGCCTCAGTGGTTGTGATAACAGGAAGCCAAGTTAAATTATATCGCAACAGACCTTGAAAATCACCGCCCACCCCCGCCCCAGGGCGGACCTAGTTATCTGGGTGACATCAACGCCATGGCTTGTGTAGCAAACTAGGAACTTTTATTTTTTTCTTATTTGCAATTTTTTTTTGAATTTTTGCTGAAAAAAAAATGCCAGAGCACTTCTAACAGCTTTATTGAGATATCATTTATATACTGTACAGTTCACTCATAAAAAGTGGGCAATTCATTGGTTTTTAGTGTATTTGTAGATATATGCAACTAAAAAAAAAAGCATTTTTTGATGGATAGTCTTAATTTGGTCATTGCAGAAGTAAGTGGGCCCTCACTTCAAGGAATAGTGTGGGCCCAGTAAATAAAGCTCACAGAAAAGCTGTGATAGATTATTTGTCCCCTGGGCCTGTGATTCTGTATCGGTCCTTGATAATCACAGGCTGCGCTGTTTGCTCTCATCTTCCCCCAAATGACCGGGGATGTTTATGTGCGAATGAAAAATTCATCCTGGTTTTGTGTGGGCGGGGGGGGGAGTCTTAAGAACCAAACAGTGAAAACACTTTTAAACTGAGATGAAATAACTCCTTACCACAAACCTTGAAAAATTGCAGCCACAGGTCGGCTTGGAGCAGATCTCGAATCTCATTTCAGCGAAGCATTCACGCAGGAAGCTTTCGTTTGTCTTCCTACATAGAAATCTTTTTTCGCACATAAGCTTTTTACAGGGAGGTGGGGAAGTTTGCATTTGAGTGTGGTGACCTGTCGTCCCATGTGGAGGAACGTGCTCTCAGGCTGCATTCCGGAGAGCTGTGTGATAGGACCCGAGCCTCCGTCCCTGAAGTGGAGGCTTCCCTGCCTTGGGTGCGCTCTCTGCAGAGTGGAGTTGGGGGCGGGGCCTCCATCAGCAACTGTCATAGCAGACTGCTGTCCCTTTTCTCCAAACTGGGTGACTCATTAGACAGAACACCCCTAATCTCTGTTTACTGGGAAATATCGCTGAACACCCAAAGGAAACTCTTATCTCATGCCATTTTATTCAAAACATTCTTTTAGCTAATGTGAATATAGGTAGCATAATTCCTCACTACGATGACCCTAGGCATAGTAAAATGTTGAAATGCTTCTTAAATATTAAGTAGAATTACATAGTAACTTCTCATGTTAACCAGAAAACTGCCTGTCCTGAATATATCAAACGAACAGAAATTGTAGTGTTCTTTGAATTGGTCTCTTTGTCAGATACACCAGGATAAGGACAAGGAAACATTACAGAAACAGCAAGGTGTCGAATGGAGGAAAAACAGCTGTTCAATACACTTTGCATTTGGTATAGACTTTCGTGAGCCAGGAGAGACTCTAACCTATTTTGCTGTAGACACGTGGCATTTACTAGGCAAGATAGAGTTAGGACTTACAATATCCATTTGCACCAGAAATCACGGTGACTCGGAGCCAGCTTTATCAGTGTTTTCCCATGGGCTCCTTGTTGTACTGCCACAGAAAGACACTTACACCAACCTGAGAAAATGCTACCAGCCACACTCTCTCTCACACGGTTTATTATACCTAATGAACAAGTCTTTAGAGTCCTGGGTAATCAGAGCCACCTCGCCTCAGACATCTAGATGCTGGAGGGAATGCCTTTAGAATTGAACTGCTTTTGACTGAGCTATGTGAATGGTTTTATTTTGAAATGGATTTTTTTTTAGTCTCACACTGGCAGGTTTGGAGTGTAGTCCTCAATTCTAAGTGAAGGAATATCTATGAAAACAAACAGGTCAGGCCAGGCCCAGTGGGAAGTCTAACTTACAAGTGGATGGCAATGTACTGGAAGCAGGGGATTTAGGAGACTGAAGAGGAGAGCTGTTGTAGGAGGTAATCTTCCCTCCGCACACCTGGGTATGAGCCTGAGAGTTAGACCTGGGGTCCCAGCAGGTACGGGAAATTGGGAGACTGGGGCTATTTCCCTGGCCTTGCATCGCCAGCCAAGTTAACTTGAGCAAGTCACTCTAGAGTGATCTTTGACTTCTGTCATCCCATAAAGTGCAGGTGGATGACTCTAAGGGTAGGCTCCCTGGCCAGTGGTCCGTATAGAGCTTCCCTGGTCAACAATCAATTGGCAGCGCCAAGTAAAGCTGACCCACGCTGCCTGGATCAGCACAAGCCATTCTGCCCATGGTTCACCTTTAGAGCTGAACATACAATTATTGTTCAAACCAGGGAAGGACAGAGAGGGCCAGGCCGGCTGTTTGTAATTACTACGCCAGGACGATAAGCATCAACCAGAGCTGTCTCAGGCATATAGATTAATCACCCTACTCTTAGGTCATTGATCTAGGTCTTAGGGCGGTTTTTAAAATGACCTTCCAAGCTCTTCTTTGACCAGTTTTCTCCTCTTCTTTGTAGGTCAAGTTAAAGACTTCTCATTCAGCTGCCTGCCTTTGACTATGTATATAATAGTGGTGCTGGTATTTGATTGGATATTCCTTATGGGTTTTAAGCTTTTCTGTTGCTTATTTTTTAAATGTTTTAGGTGTTTTATTCCCCTGTTGGGAGTGACAGAGAATGAAGAGTAGGTAGTGACTTTTTAGAAAACATGGTTTGCTCTCATAGCTTGTCTCAGTGGTTGGTGGTTGAGGTCTGTACCTGTGGTCCACTGGGGAGAGGTTACATGTCCTGCGTGGAAGGAAGTGCCTCTCCTCCTGCACCTCCCCCTCCAGGAGAAATCTAGGTGCCGAGTGGCTTCTTGTCCCCTTGGCTGGTTCTCAGATAGGGATGTAATTTCCTTGCTTGGCTATCCTGGGCTGGCTATCGAGGATATTTGGATTTAGGATGAGATGAAAATTCATCTAGCAGCAGATTTGCTGTGTTGCTCTAAAAATTTTTGACCTCCTTATGGGCATGACTCTGATATATTTTTTTATATCTTTACCCAAGGATATGCTTAATGATTTGAGAGAGAGAGAGAGAGGGAGGGAGGGAGGGAGAAAGAGAATGAGAGAGAGGGAGGCATTGATTGGTTGCCTCCTGTACACTCCTAGACTGAGGATTGTACACACCCAGACTGGGGCTCAAACCCGCAACCTTTTAGTGTACGAGATCACACTCCAACCCACCTGAGCCACTCAGGCAGGTCCTGATACATTTTTAAAAGCTTTATTGAGGAATACTTTCATACCATAAAACTGGCCCATTCAATGATTATTCATATATTTGCAATTGTCAATACAATCTAATTTTAGAACATTCTTGTCACTCCAAAGAGAAACGTCTTGCCCGTTTGTAGCCACTTGTCTCTAATACAGCACCTAGCTCCCTGAGGTCAATGCATGGTTTCAGTGTCACTTTCAGGAATGGTTTTGCTGCCTGTTGTGTGGTCTTAAACAGACTTGTAGTTTTAAAGTTCTTAAAACACATGTTATTGCTGGCCCAGTTTAGTCTAACGGCAGTGAATTGACTTACATCCCCCACTGCCAGCCCCGTTTACTGGACAATAGAGGAATTAGAACTGCTTGGAAGGAGAGCGATTTCAAACATAAACTTTATTTTTTAGAGTAGTTTAGGTTCACAAAAAAATAGAGCAGAAAGTCCAGAGAGATCCCATATACCCTTTGCTTCTACACATTCACAGCCAACCCCTAACATCAACATCCTCACCAGAGTGGGACATTTGTTAGAGTTAATGAACCTATGCTGACACATCATCACCAAAGTCCATAGTTTACATTAGAGTTCACTCTTGCTGGTGTATAGTCCGTGAGTTTGGACAAACGTAATTGACATATATCATGGACATTACAGTGTCGTCCACAAGATTCTCGTTGCCCTAAACATCTTCTGTGCTCCCACTATTTATCGCCCCCCCTCAGCCCGAGGCCACCACTTATCTTTTTCTTTTCTGCTTTATTGAGGTATATAATCGACACATAACATCATAAGATATTTAAACTGTATGTCATGGTGATTTAGTATATGTGTGCATTGTGAAAGGATTTCTGCCACCTAGTGAATGAACACATCCATCACCTCGTATGTTTATCCTGCAGGACTCCTGAAGGGCAGCCTCTCCGATTCCTAGGCTTTCCGGGTCGCGGGGCCTTGGACATTAGGAATCACAAGGGACAAATATAGTGGGAAAAGTGAGGAGAAAGTAGAAGGATGGTTTTTAAGTAGAAGGATGATTTTTAAGTTGTATTTAAAAAATTTTCATGTGTGAATTCCTGTCTCCATCCTGTTGCTTTGCAGGTTGAGCCACATAAAATTCCAACACAGAAGGGAAGGTATGAACTTCGGGCAAAGGGCAGCCTGTGCATGTCATTTTTAGGTGCCCTATAGAATGTTCCTCTCTCTCATTGCCAGAGAGGCTTAGAACAAGCCTGCCTCCTACCAATTAAAGTATACTTTCTAAAAAACTGCGAGATACCCAAATTATCTGCTGATTTTCATTTACAAGGCAGAGCACAACAGGTTAGCATATGAAAATGCTTTACCTTAAGGCACCCTGGAATGCAGCCCACATTCTTCCATGTGGTTTCTTAATGGACTGACCCGTGAACAATCAGGAAATGGGAGTATATCATTTTTATTTTCTGAGAGTTGCTGTTTCTTTTGTGTGGGTGCACGTCTGTCTGGGCTCCATCGTGGACAGAGCGGTGAGGCTGAAAAAGGAACTGAGTTCTGGTTTGGGCAAGTCATGGGTCGCAGAATTAGGGGGGAAAAAAAATGGGCTCCTTCAAAAGTTGCGAGGCTTTCTCCTGTCCCAGGAAGCTCTGCGAATAATAAAAGGCAAGGCTGAGACACCGAGGTTCAAAACTGCCTTTTAAACTTGGGTTATTAAACTTGCGTGCACTGTGGCGTTCCCACTTAGCAGGGCCCCAGCGGAATTCCAGTTCTGCGCTGTTCTGAGTTTTCTCAAGTATATAGTGGTTACTCTGCAGAAGGATGTTGGCAGCCACACTGTTGTGACATAAAGATATTTACGGCCAGTTGGAATAGCCTTTTATAAAAAGCAGCATAAAGACTCTGGGGCCTTTATTTCGCCAAATAAACAGGCCAAGTATGTTTAACTGCCCTCAGATTAGTTGATACGAACTTGATCAAAGAAGTCTTTAAAACAGCGGAGTGAGGTAAGTTTGGCTTTATCGCAGTGGAGGCTCCTTCGCGGAGCACAGGCTGTTTGGACCTGGAGGGCGGGAAGGCTGCCCGTGGAGAGTGCAGCACGTCTGTCTGCGTCGATCTGTCTTGTCCTTCGCGCAAAGTGAGGCGGCTCCTTGCCTGGCGGCTTTTACGGGTGAGGACGGACAGTGTTTCTTTGATGATTCAGTCTCCCGTCAGCCACATTGATACTGGACTTTGTTCCCTCTCTGCTCAGGTATCTCCATACTTTCTTGGAAAATTAAGTGGAAAAGATAGTGCTACTTTCCCCTATGCCACCATTTTTACTGTGCCCAATCTGTGACTTTAGGAGCACCAGTTTTTAAGGGTAAGTCTCTGGGAAGCAGAGAGGGTTTCTTACACAGATAAGGGCTTCCTGTGGACTTGGAGAGTTTAGGGAAAGGGGGAGGGGCAGGGGTCGGCATGAAAAGATTCTATAGAGTAGGACAGATTACAGATCTTTTCCTTATCCAGAATCCAGATGCATTTGGGATTTAAGCATAAGGAAACTGCCCAAGTCTTTTGCCTAATTTACTGTAATATTGCACATATCAGTGATCAGCTCTGTGTGGGAAGAAAGAAGCCATTTAAGAAAATCATTCAAATATTATGCAAGACTATAATAACATCAGGAAAAGCTCAAGTTGATTAGCCCAGCAAATAGCTCTCTAAAAGCAGTGTTTGTATTTATTTTCTCGAGGCAGTTTGATAGGCTGTGGAGTTAATTTCCCACTTTTGAGTCTTCCCAACTTGCTGTGCTGTGAGGTAGACACCTGTCAGATGCAGGTTACAGAAGTGCCCCCCTCAGGGGGTCACTGAGCCACCAGGGAGACTGTTGCAGGGAAAGCATGTAGCATTAGTCCTTACACTGAGTACACAGTGCTCAGTGCATTGAGTTGCTGTCATTTCTATTCAGAATTATTAGTGGTGTTCACTGGCGGGGACATATAAAGGTAGTAACAAAGAACAAAATTTCAAAATGCAAAAAGAGATCCTTGAGTAAAATCCACCTTCTGATGGACTAGCAGTGTTTAGCTTATTAATGAGGTCCCTGCCCAAGGAAGGTACGCATGAGTGATAGTCAGGTGAGCAGGGTGTTGGCCTACCTGCCCCGTGACCTTGCAGGGGTCCAGGGAGAGTACATGAAGGTCTGTTGATAAGGCCACCTGGAGGTACTCAGTGAACACTAATTCCCAGCTCAGCCTTCATGAGCCAAAGAGGAGATGAGTGGTAGCATTCCTGTCATATTGTAGTCACACATGCCTGCCATGCCTGGATGAATTCCTCAGAGGTAACTCCACCCCTCCCCAACTCATTTGCTCCTCCCAACAGCCCTGTGAGTCCCAAGGGCCGGGAGCACTGAGACCCAGAACAGGCCCTGCGCCCGCACCCCCAGCCACTGAGCGCAGCGCTGGGCCAGAAATCCACGTCGTGGCTCCCGGGTCGGTGCTGCGTTCATAGCAAGCTCTTCCTTTCACCTTCATTTTAAAATGCGGCACGTCACTAGAACACTGGAGGCACAGCAAGGCCAGCAGATCAGGAACTGGCTTCTGTTGAAGATAGTTTATTACTCACATGTCCTTAGAGGACAGACATACCCTGCCTGGGGGACAGGGAGACCACATGCAGAAGCACCAGGTTGGTCACGAGGCAGAGAGAGAAGGAAGGACTGTGGGCAAGAGCGTGTCTTGTGGTTTCTGTGGGAAGGCAGGGGGCCGGGCTTTGGGCTGACCAGTTCAGATAGTTGCAGCGGGCTCTGGGGCATAGGGACTGTCCCTGGTTGTCTGGCACCAGGCCCCTGGGGTGATTAGGGCAGGTGTTGAGAGCCGATAGAGGAGGTAGTTGGCGCGTGGGCTTGGGGCCAGTGGTCTGTACAGTATTTGAGAAGCGCGCTCAAGTTGGAGTTGCTGACTGTGTCAGGGAACTGGCTGACGCTGGGAGGGCAGACCCTCCGGGGGCAGCAAGGCCCCAGACACCAAAGCTTCAGAATACAAGAAATAAAAGAACTGGCTAATAGAGCAAAGTCTGGCTTCAGTGTCAGCCTAAGCTTTGGAATACGTTGAATAATTTTGCTGTACCCCAGAAATGCGTGCTCAGTACCCTGAGAGGGTTCTGGGTCTGGGACCCCCAGGCTGACCCCTCCCTTCATCTCCAGGCCTGTGTTGCCAGCTCCCTGCCCGGCAGCCCCCTTGGGTGTCTGTAGGCCTCATAGGTGTGAACTACTGTCTTCGTCCCCCAGAGCTCTTCACCAGCTTGTGCTTTGCACCCACCTGTGCAGCCAGGAACCTGTCAGCTTCCGCACTTGCCCTCTTCCCCACGTGAAGGCCTGTGATCCTGTCTTACCGGTGTGTCTTGAGTGAATTTGGTGCTTTCCTGCTTTGCCAAGATTCCTGTGCTTGAGTCGCAACTGGTCTCCTATTCTCTAGTCTTTCTGTCCTTCAAACCAATATTATCGTTCAACTCAGACCCTGGCACTTTTCTCCCCATTTAAAAGCCTCGAATGGCTTCCTAGTGATTATAGTCTCAAGTTCAAAATCCTGGGCATGACTCATAATCTGACCCCAGCCACCTTGCTGGCACGCGTGACACTCCCTGCTGTCGAAGGGGTCAGCCATACTCTGCCCCTGGCTGGGTCTCAGCCCTCAGCTGGCTGCCGCCCCTCCTTGCCTACCCAGTGAAGGCCCGTTATTCCTAAGGCCAAGGTTATGTGCTACCCCCTCTGAAAAGCCATCCCCAGGCCTTCTAACTGTAAGTGGTCACTCTTCACATTTCTTCAATACTTCTTATATATACATTTCCATTAAAGTAATGAGCTCATAGGAGCTTGGCTATTTTTTACCTGTGATTTTTTTCATCATATCCTATTAGTCATTCATTCAGTAGATCTTTGTTGATTATTTGCCCTCTACTGGGCATTGTGCCAGGTGTTGAGGCTGCAGAAATAACTGAGAGAGACCCTGCCTTCAGGAATCAAATTGCCTCCTTGGGGAGAATGAGAACCACAGATATAGCTGGACAATCTTGTGAGTAATTACAGCTAAAATATGATACCCGCTGTGATAGGGGTATCAGCAAACTCTTCTAGGCACAGAGAAGAAAGAACACTGCCAGCCAGAGCTGGGGAAGGGTCTAGGACCTTGAGTGGATCTTGACTGATGGATGAGGACAAGTATATTGAGATGGGGAAGCAGCAAGAGGTGGGGAAGGTTGGTGATTTGATGGATCTTCTTTCGCTAAGAGCCCAAACAAGAAAAGTGGTATTAATGTGGAAGAACATTCAAACCGGTTTTCCTTTTACACCCTTCAACACTGGAATATGCCCTGTAAGTGCCTTTGTTCAGGGATTCCTGCCTTTCTCAGTCTGGCGTGTGGTCCAGGGGAGCGGACAGCCACACGCACAACTGTCTACATTTCCGAAGGTTCTTAGAGTCAGTGAGAAAGCATTTACATAGCATGTGTCTCACACCAACCCACATCTCGCAGGACCAAAGGTAACTGCTGGGTTGTACCATGTGTTTTCACGCTGCCGTCCCCTTTACAGAGAGATGTATTATATTATTACTTGAATGTGAGACAGTCTTCAAACCTTTCTCCACTGTGAAGTTACTATCTTAATAGGTCTTCAAAGAGTCCTCCTGGGTGAGTGCCATAGGAACGGGGCACTATCCTTAGGGCCTGGACTATTCTCCCTGCCCCCCAGCATGGTTTGGTCAGAGAACCCCCTTGGAGGCCCAACTCTGCCGCTTTCTGGTGTGCACCCTCCGGGAACTTACTTACCTCTTGGAACCTTGGTTTGCATCTTGGTAAAATGCAAGGGAAGATGGCACCGATGATGTGTAAATTAATGCAGGACAGTGAATGGTGCTATTCCCGGCAGGGAGTAAGCCATTAGTAACTGGGAGGTGCATATTTTTGGTAATACTATTATTCATGTTATGTTCTGTGGATTCTTGTGTGGGCTGGAGCGATGTCTTAGGTAGATACTAAATTATCAGATCCCCCAAAAATCAAGTAACCTTAGGAGAGATGGAGGGCGGAGGGGGAGGGAAGCAGGTCATACCCCTTTATGTCTTTGTATGTTTTATTCAACATTGTTAAAACCATTCTAAAAGCATCATTTTGCTTCTCATTATAGGAAAGCTGAAATAAGGGAGGGGGACATTTGCCATTTGTTCCTGAAAATCATTTGTCTGAGCTGAATGTCACGTCGTTTAATTAGCTGGCGACACAGCAGTTTCTTCATTTTGTATTCATCCGACTCCAGAGTTCAGTTTGACAGCCTTGCTTATAATACTTGAAGCAAAGTCATGCCATTCAGTCGAGATAGACATCCAGTCATACTTTTTAGTCTCTCTGCCTCCTCCTGGAGGCTTATTGAGGCGGTGCCTCTGTGTGTCTGTGTGAGTCTCTGGAAGGAATGCAGCGCTGTGCTGGAGTTTGAGGTTCTTTGAAATCTAGTGACGCTCTGAGAATACAGTGGGATAAGTGCTTCTATCTAATTGGTGTATTCTTTATGTCTGAACCTCACATCACAAACAGGGATGTTTGACAGGTGTTTGGTAAGAGGACTCTTTCCTTTGTAGGAACATTAGTTGCCTGACATTTGCATTTTTATAAGGAGTTCTAGAAATAGAAACGAAAAATCTGTGCAAAAAATAGATGCATCGTATTGCTCCCGTCCTTATCATTGAAAATCATTGCCTTTGGTCATTTCTGGGCTTTCCTCTCATCTACCCACACAGGAAGAACGTTGGTGAAAAGCACAGAAACCAGTGACCTTTATGGCCGTGGAATTTCCGTGGAGAAAAGAGAGCATCAGAACTCACCTGGACCGTCTTTCCTTCCTGGTAAACCCACCATGCTCCCGAGTGTGTCCTGTGAACTTGACTGCATAGCGTCCAGGTGCTTTGAGAGGAAGGAGCACACCTGGCCTGCAGATGAGGTCGCCAGGGGTGGGGGGAGGATGGGGGAGAACATGGAGCAAATGTGTTACAACCCGAACCTCAGAACTGTGATCCTCCGAGGAGAGCGCTACTTGAAGAAAAGGAAAAAAAAAATGTCGAATGGCTTCTCAGGGATTTTGTTTTCTGTGCACATATAAGCCATAGTTCCAGTGCAGGTGGCAGTATTCAGAGCACTCAGATTTCAGTTCTGTTAAATGTGCAGAGGGATCGACTGACCATTCATTGCTGTTCCGTAACTAGTGTAAAATATGTATATGTTTATCTTTATTTTTATAATATGCAAATACATTTAAATTTATACAGTTTGAAGCTTCTAGCGTTAGTTAACACTGGGTGCAATATTCCGCATGAGAACTGTGCCAAGATGGGGCTGATTTCTTATTTTAGCATAAGACCTATTTGTTCATTCTTTATTTTTTAATCCTTTTCAGATTTAAAAAAAACAGATTTCTATCTGCCTATGGATTAAGTGTTGGTTCCTAGAGGTTGCCAATCATATGCAAGAATCTTCAAGGTGCCCTCAGGCAACGTCTCCTCTCCTTCTTTGAATGCAAGGTCCCTGCCTGTATAAACCTCTGGGCAGGGTCAGGGGGTTATTCCTTTTCTCTGCTCATATGTCACTGCTGCCCAGCAGAGTGTTCCTTGCCCCAGGCTTTCCTGCTGCCTGGGCCCTGTCACTGGGTGGTTCACCGAGGGAGGGCTGGTGTTAGGATTCTTCGGCAGGGGAGGGCAAACGGGGTCAGCGAGCCCACGGGAAGCCTGAGTCTTCCAATAGCTTCAGATAATCAGGAGTCAGTTCTGAAACGTGCAGAGAACTCTGGTAATGAGCCCCTTCCCCCCCCCCGCCCCCCCGCAAGAACAGAGTCTGTGAAGTTTAGCAGAGCACTTGGAAAGCCCTCCACATCTGGCTGTCAGACCTTAGGATAGCAAATGGCCTAATTGGAGAACATAATCCCCCATAGGTTATTTATAAGTACAGGGCCTCTGATTGGTCAGTCTACTGCCAAGAACTAGTAAAAATATTGTTTTAAAATCTCCATGAAGCAAAACTTAAAAAGCAAACCAAACACATTGCTTTCTCTTCGAACCCTGATTGGGGCCAAACAGCAGCTGCTGCTGGAGTAACACGTTGTAGTCCAAAGAAATGTGAAGGACTGTTTACGCGTGCCTCCTCGGCGCGTTGATTGAAAACGTGGGAGACTCTCACTAGCGTACGACAGGAAAAGTGAGTCTGCTGGTTGTATTCGTTTTTCAAGTATTGACTCCTGGAATGCCACAGTATACAAAGTCTCAAAAGATTTTTACAAGAAATAACAGGCGAGCGGCTGCATTGCAGAAAGTCACAAATCGGTTTTTGTAGACTATTTCATGCCCCACGAGTTAACTTTCCTAACTCCAGAACCTCCAGTTAAGCAAGCATGATTTCTTATGGTCAGAAAATCAAGTGGATTCAGATTATTCCTCCATTTTTAAATACTTGAATATGACACCTCAAATTTGAGATTTCGTCATCTTTGAAACAGTCACAAAGTTAATCTGGTCAATCCTTTTGTCACAGTTCTCGTGTGCATGTGTGCGAGCATGTGTGTAAGTGTAAACTGAATGCTAACATTTAATTGCTTTATGGACCATTGAATCGTTGGGCATAAAAGTTTTTTAATTGGCATGAGACAGGTCCTACCCTGTCAAAGGAACTTATTTTGACCCATCTTTTGAAGACTCAGCAGTGTGTGGCTCTGAGCTAATTCTCCAGGGGACCATATTAAATGAAAAAAAAAAAAATGCTCCTGCGGGTGACATACCCTGAAAGTGTGTGCTGTTATTATGATCATAAATGCTCACATTCTTAATATCTGCTATTTTTTGACAAGTGATGTTTTGTGCTGTCATCTGAACCCTAGAGAAGCAGAGTAAGGAGGAATCTTGGTGTCACATGTATCTAAGTAAAAGTCATTGCGATAGAGGGTCATGTGACCGAAAGCAGCTCCAGAAGAGCTTGCGGCCTCGCTTCAGAGTGGGCGGAGGGTTGAAGATACAGAAAACTCTGCTCTACAGGAATTTTCACATCTGTGCAGAAAAGCCCGTTTCCTCTTTCAACACCTGGGAAGACTCGGTCAGCGAGGCGGACAGGCAGTTCACTAAGCACAAGGGGAACCTTCCAGCCGAGTAATCCCTGGCCTCCAAAAAAAAACACCCTCCAAGTTTGTTATGGTTTCTATTCCTGCAACCTGTGGTATCAAAACCACTTCCTGGAATTATGAAAGTGCTGCCAGAATAAATGTTTTTCCCCCTTCCATGAAAAAAGTGTCAGTGCTCACATTTGACACTTGTGTGGTGGACTCTTTGGAATGAATAAAATGAAAAGGGTTTGGTGTTGTTCCTGATGGGGTGTGTGTTCTTTTTCATGCCACAGTTCGTGAATTGTGATTGCGGCTTCCTATTTCATTGTCATGACCAGGCAGAAATTTAAAAAGAAAATTTCAAAACGTCAATAAAAATATAAATGTTCAAGCGATTCTATCTCCAGAGTTTAGTTATTTCTGTTGTTTTATTTTTGTTGTTGTTTTTTAATTTTAGTTTTATCAGCTGAGGAATAACTATTTATGTGCTTCGTTAAGCCACTTTTGAGCTATGGGAGGCGGATGGTGGCAGCTATTTGGGGTTTGAGTCCCGAAAACTGTTCAAAACTCTGCTCTCGGTTTTCAGGCTGGAGATTCAACTCTTGAATATCAGCTCTGGTCTCTTAATTCAGATCCTTTTTCAGTGATCTGCTCTACTCCTAAGTCAAACTTAGGAATGCAAGTTCCCTTCCCTGGGCTCCTAGCAGAAGTCCCCGCCACCTCCTAGTAACTGCCGTGGAGGCTGAAAGGGCCGACCCTTCCGTACCAGGGTCAGAGGCTCAATCCTGTTTGTTTGAAAGGACAGTTGAGAAGATTAAGAAAGGAGAGCAAAGGGGCTGCTTCCTGCAGAAGCCACACCTTTAGGGAGGGACAAAGCAGAAAAGCCCCGCCCCGGGGTCCTGGACACGCGGGGCACAGGGGTGAAGGGGCCCCCTCGGCCAGGAGGACTTCACTGTGAGACTCCTGAGAAGGTAAGTGGAGTCACTGAGAGCCCTGAATCCAAATGTACCTCTCGGGCAGCGGAAAAGCTGAAACCGACTGGCTGTCAGAATTTTCGAAAGATCAGCAGGGGCGGGCCTGCTCTTACCAGCGGTCGTGGCCCCCGGTCCCGGGTGAGTGAGGCACAGCGCTCAGCCTGCCCCGCGTCTCTCTCGGTGAGCGGAAGCGACCGCCACGGGCCGGGCTTTTCTTTACTGCGAACCTCGGGAGTCCTTTCCATGGGGTCACCAGGTGTCTGTGGTGACAATTCGAAGTTCCTGACTTACCGCACCTGTCACTCCCTCCCGAGTCTGTTTCCCCTGCCTAACTGTGAGCCTTTGTGAGGCGGGCTCCAGGTTTGCTTCCAGTACCCAGGGGGGTGCTCAGGCGCTGAATTCAGAAGCCCAGGGTTGCTTTTGTGCCGGTGCCTGCCGTGTAACCCGCGGTCCGGGGAGCCGAGAGGGACACCCCCTGCTAGAACCTGCTGCTGCTGTTGCTGCTGCCCTTTGCGCGGAGAGGACCTGGAAGAGGTGTTAGAAAGCAGATGACCCTTTGAGGTTACCTGGGTGTGACAGCATGAAAAAATTCACCTGGTAACAGAAACTCTATTTGAATATTTAAGCACAAGTAAGAAAAAGATCTTCATCCTGATATACAAGAAAGATTTTTTGAGCCCTGGCTGGTGTGGCCCAGTGGACTGAACGCTGGCCTGTGAACCAAAGAGTCGCCAGTTCGATTCCCAATCAGGGCACATGCGTGGGTTGAGGGCCAGGTCCCCGGTAAGGGGTGTACGAGAGGCAACCACACATTGATGTTTCTCTCCTCTTTCTCCCTCCTTTCCCCTCTAAAAATAAAATTTTAAAAAAAGAAAGACTTTTTGAATGAAATGAATTTCATTCTAAACACTGAGCAGTGACTCCCCAGCTGCTCCATGAAACATCCCTGTCTCCTGAGATACCAATACTCATTCTTCTGTAAAAAGAATTCTAAGGTCAAGGAAGCTTGAGAAATGCTGCATTAAATAAAGCTTCAGAGTTGTTGCTGCAGGCCTCAGAACCTTTTAGATGCTGGCAGAAATTGCGAGTGTCCAAAGGATATAGAATGCAGCACTTCCACATGTATCTGAGTGCTGGGGAAGCACCTCCACGTGCGTGCGTGTGGGCGGAGCCTTTTCCAGGAGTGGCCTGTGGACACCCTCTGAGACCAGCGTTCCCAAAGTGCAACCCATGAGGTTTGCATTAACCATATCACTAATAACATTAAATGTGAGTGGGTTAAACAACTCAATCAAAAAAGAGATTGCATGAATCTCTACAGAAAGGAGGCACATTTTAATTTAAAGAGGGACCAGGATGGGTCCTGCCAGTGCAACCCGAGAGGCAGCTGTAACCTCTAACGATAGAGAATTTCTTCTTTGTGGGCCTGTTGTGCCAGAGGGGGCCCAGTAGCATGGTGGCCAAGTGCGCTCATTCCAGACTTGCCACCATTAGAATCCTGGTTCTGTCACCTTTTTACCTTGTGCTTCAGTTTCCTCACATGTAAAGTGGAGGGAACCACCTGCCTCCTACAGTGCCTAGCACTGGTGAGCACTAATCGAATACAACTACTCTGATTTACTCTATTTACTTGCATAGTTCTCTCTCTCTCTCTCTCTCTTTTTAAACCTAGAAAGCAAGCCTCAAGTTGAGTCTGACAGTATCTAGCAAGTTAACAATTTTTGTTTACACCATATTTACTAATTGGTTATTTGCACTAGTGATAAAATATTTGCTTTAAAAATGAATATATTTAGAAAGAAATATATTAAGTAGTAAGTGCAGGCGGTACACATAGAAAAATGGTGAATACATGGCAAAAATTATGACAGTAGTATGTGAACACCTGGGTAACGCAGGGACACGGTCCCAACCTAGAGACCAGGTGATTTCCCACTGAGCCAAAGGGACCCACACACTTGTAAAGGTACTTCCTCCAGTTTAAAAATATCTGCCACAAAAATTTATTGGAAGGTTATAGAAGAATGATTATATTTTCGGAAAACTAGTATTTCTTAAATTTGAAATCTAAAATAAGTTTCCTATATTCTTAAATGTTGTTTCAGTACAGCCAAAGATATTTTGTATAAATACAGCTTTGAAATTTGAATGTGGAAGTTGATTTGATTTATGAAAATTTTAATGTTTTATTAGAAGACCCTGTACATGTGGTATAAATCTGAAGTAGATTCTGGTGAGTTAGGATATGTGTTGTTATGACTTAGAGCACTCCTTAAGAAAATAACTAAAAAATATATTTAAGAAATCATTGAAGGAACTAAAACGTTAAGCTAGAGAATACCTGCTTAACACAAAAGTAGGCAGTAAAGGCAGAATAGAGGAACAAAAAATGTATGAGACTTGGAAAACAACAGTATGGCAGATGCAAATCTAACCACATCATTAATAACATTGAATGGGTTTCCCTGACTTGTGTGGCTCAGTTGGTTGGTTATCATCCCACAGGGCGAAGGCTGGCTGGTTCAGTCCCCGGTCAAGGCACATACCTGGGTTGTGGGGTCAGTCCAAGGTCGGAGTGAGTACAGGAGGCAACCAATTGATGTTTCTCTCTTGCACTGATGTTTCTCTTCCTTGCTTTCTCCTACCCTTCCCTCTGTCTAGAAATAAATAAAATCTTTTTTAAAAGTGTGAATGGGTTAAGCAAAATGAAAAGACAGAGATTGCGTGATTGTATTAAAAATTATGCTCTCTACAGGAGGCAGATTTTAATTAAAAAATACAAAAAGATGGGAAGTAATAAGTTGGACAATGATATGCTGGGCCAAAACCACCATAACAGAGCTGGAGTGGCTGTACTAAGATTAGACAAAATGGACATTAAAGCAACAAAATGTGACTAGAGAATAAAGAGGGACATTTCATTATGACTAAGGGTCATTCCATCAGGAAAAAAGAAAGAAATTTAGGGCATGCACAAAAATATAAAAGTTTAACAACACAGTACTAAGTCACCAATGGGTCAAAGAAGAAAACAAAAGGTGATTAGAAAATATGAGGGAAATGCAAATCAAAACTTCAGTGAGATACCACTTCTCACTCACTATGATGGCTAGCATGACAAAGAGAGACAATGCAAGTGTTGACAAGGATTGTGAAGAAATTGGAATGCTTGTGCACTGCTGCTAAAATGGTAAAGACAGTTTGGCAAACAGTTTGGCAGTTCTTCAAAATGTTAAATGTTTTACTCCTCTGCCCCAAGTCCACACCCAAGAGAAATAAAAGCACACGTCCATCTCAAAACCTTGTCAATGAATATGTAAAGCAACACAATTCATAATGGCCAAAAAGTGGAAACAACCCAAATGTGCATCTACTGATGAATGGAGAACTGAAGTATTGATATGTTCATACAGTGGAATGTTATCTGGCAATAAAAAGAAATAAAGTGGTGATATATGCTATTACTTGGAGAAATCTTAAAAACATTATTCTACTCCCCTGGCTGGTGTGTCTCAGTGGATTGAGTGCCTGCCTCTGAACCAAAAGGTTGCCGGTTCGATTCCCAGTCAGAGCATGAGCCTGGGTTCTGGGCCAGGTCCCCAGTGGGGGGGCATGCTAGAGGCAACCACACATTGATGTTTCTCTCCCTCTCTCTCCCTCCCTTCCCCTCTCTCTAAAAATAAATAAAATATATATATTTAAAAACATTATTCTAGGTAAAAGAGGCCAGTCACAGAAGACCACACAGTGTATGATTCCATTTCTGTGAAATTTCCAGAGTAAGCAAATACAGAGTGGTTGCTGAGGGCTGGAGAGGTGGGGTTTCTTTTAGGGGAGTGTATTAGGGTTCTCCAGAGAAACAGAACCAACAGCATACACTGGGAAGAGATTTATAAAAGGAACTGACTCATTGATTAGGGAGGCTGACAAGTCCAGAATCTGCAGAGCTGATGTCCCAGTGCGAAGGCTGTTTGGCAGGAGAATTCCCTCTAACTGGGGGAAGGGTCAGCCTTGTGTCCTGTTCACGCCTTCCATTGATTGGCTGAGGCCCAGCCTTACTAGGGAGGTCCACCTGCAGTTACGAAGCTGAGGGCACAGACAGCTTCTATGAGAAGGCCTTAGAGAACAAAGTCAGGCTGACTGAGCCAAACGGAGAAGGGAGTGATGAGCCTTTCAAGTGAAAAGACTCAGCAAGTCGTTTATTACAAAACTAAAATAAAGGAGACTATTTCGGGGCAGTGAGGTGTTAGGCTGCTGGCCGAAGGCCCCGGAGGCTTTGAGGACATGAAAGGATGCAGCGCCAGCAGCCCTGATAAAAGCCTGTCACGCGTGTGCATCCTACATGCTGGACAATTCCTTGGTCAACTGGCATAAGTGTAACTGAAGTCGATTCCCTCTCCAGGTGTATTTGAGA